AGCCCAGCCCGCCCGGCGCGGCCGCCGCAGGACGCGCAGCCCCGCAGGATCGCAGCCCCGCACCTCCCGGTGAGCGCCCGAACCGCGCGGGGCCGCGGACGGGCCGCTGCTTTCGCCTGCCGCCGCTCCTGCTGGCAGCGGGACTCCCCGCGGGCCCCCGTCTCCCGCCGCGTCCATCCTCGCAGGCGGCGGTGCCCGCATCGCCGGGGCAGCCCCGCGTCCCCCGCCGCCCGCTGATGCCCTTCGGCCGGGTCCCCAGCCCGGCGCACCCTGCGGGGAGCGGGAGGTCGGGGGTTGGTGCCGTCCTGCCTGCTCGGGGGCCCTGCCCTGCCCTGCCCTGCCCTGCCCTGCCCTGCCCTGCCCTGCCCTGCCGGAGCTGAGCGCGGGGTTGGACCCCGGCGGGTCCGGCCCGTCCCCGTGGAGCTGGGGGCCCGCGGAGCGCAGGAGGGTTCGTTGTTCCCCGCGCGTTCGGCCGCACCGGGAGCGGGTTCGGGATGCTCTGTGCCCCGGCAGCGGCTCCCCCGACGGGCGGGTGGGCCCCGGCGCGGAGCTGCGGTGTGCCGTGGGGACAACGGCGCTGGCTCTGCCGGGAGGGCTCCCCTGGCTGAGGTGCTGCAGCCAGCTGAGTAATGGTGTTAGGGGAGGCCTGCTGCTGCTCTTCACCTGAGCTTCAGCTGGGCTTTGCAGTTTCCTGCTCTCCGGCTGGTGCTTGTGATGCGAAACCCAAGGCAGTGTTTTGGTTTGATACATCCATAGCATCACTTCCCTTGCCTTCATTTGTGCTTWAAGTAGTGGAGGGCAGTTGAGCCAGAATTTGCCTTTGCCTAGCTTGGCTTTTGCCTCTGTGGCTCTCCATCTCTGTTTATGATATAGAGAAGAAAATGACATGCAAAGAAACTGAACTACTGTGGTAGATTTCCAAGAAATTTTGTAATCAGTAATGAATGTTCAGACTTACAAATACTGGATTTTGCCCTACAGTTCAAAGGCACAGTTGATGGGTATGGGCTCTTAAAAGGGTTTTTGCTTTTAMAGTTTGAAACAAGGAATTTGGTAAAGGTTGAAAGACAACTGGTATAAAAAGAGTGCTAAGGGTACTGCTAGGGTTACCTTCTGAAAGCATTACAGTAAGAAAATTACATATTGAATCCTGTTATAAATTGGTCGTTGTGTTATAAATTGAATTGGCAATTTTTGTTGCTGTTCTTTTTGCACTGCTGTTTTTTTTTTACGGTAACTGTTTTTTTCTGTAGTGTGGGTATTGGGCAAATTGTGTCTGGGGTGCAGCTTATCTTTTCTAACTGGACTTATAAATGCAGATTTGGAGGTCAATGATTCAAATGCTGGATCACAGCTCACCATACTGAATACAGCATATGCAGAGCAGGATTATATCTGGATTTCATAGTGTTTCTCATCCTTAGTGTTTAAAACACTCCTCAAATGAGAGCAACATCACTGGGCTGACTGTATAGCTGGGGAAGGACAGAGATACAGGAAGGAAAGCTGTTCTTGAAAGTTACATGTTGGATAGCATTTTGGACTGAGAATCAGTGCTCAGGTCTYCTGTGTCTGCAGTCTGTGTGTGTGGTTCCTCTTGGACAATCCCGAGTGCAGAGGACAGTGATTCAGACATCTGCAGATAATGGAGCCCTGAGTCAGTAAGGGTGCAATGTTATTAGACAAGATGTCCACTTGTAAAATACGTGGGGGAAAATGCAATAAAAGTGTTTTATTAGTATTTTATTAGGCCTTTAGTCTTCTGAGGAATGACAGCCTTGGAGGCATATTGTACAGTGAGGTGTCTTGTGCATCCAAAGTCAACTCAAATAAGTGGATAAAATTGGATATTTATGCCAGAGGCAYTAAGCAAACACAGCATGCAAATAAACACCAAGCAAATCAGTAGGTGTCCTGCTGGCTGCTGTGCTGTCATTGGGAAAGCAGAACRTCCTGATCTGGATTTTTTCCGAAGCAGGGAGGAATTCAGATGTTTGCCAGCAGTGTGTAAATACATTGAAACTAGCTCTTGCTGCCTCTGCCAGCAGTTTGGGGCTCTCCAGGTGATGCCCTGTCTGGTTGGGGTGGTGCTTGAGAGCACTTTATGCCATGCCTTGTGTCCCTGTGGGTGCAGTGGGCAGCTGCCCAGCTGTAGCTGCCTGTGCATGCAGGTTCAGCTGCAYGGGGAGCTCTCCTGCCCTCGGAGGTGCCGAGTCTTCCTCTGGGTTTGTGCTCTGAGTGCTGGGCCTGAGTTAAAACAGCTCAGTTGATGTCATGATGTCCCTCTACTACTGCTTAGCCTCATGCATTCAGGGATTATTAGGGTTCACAGGATTAGGAACAGTTCACAGCCAGTCTAAGGCCAGCTGGATCTGCTTCTTGGCTTCCAAACTTCATTTCATGACTTCTAGTATTGAAAGTCCATTCTAGAAACACTTTTAATTTGTACTTGAAATAGATACATTTTTTCAATTACCTTCTTATCCAAATGAAACTAGCTTGTGGAAAAGAGGACTCAGAAAAGAGGACTATTGAGTGGCAGGATGTGTATGTACTACATGAACAGTGTAGCATCCCCTGTTGTATTTCTGCGTAAAGATACAACCCCATTGTAGTTTTAAATCTTACTGGATTGGCTGTAGACCAGAACCTTTAAATCAAATGGGGCCTCTGAGTTTGGATGAATGTTCTTTGCTCTTGGCTTTGCCTTTGTGAGAGGGAGCAGGGAGTAGATCTTGAGTAGATCTACTCAATAGATCTTGAATAATTCTCAGATTTCATGTAAGACTTTTGTCCTCTTTGCTGTTTTCCAAGACTTTTTTATTCTTCCCTGTATGTTGCACCTTGTCCATCTGTGTGCATGACTTTCGTTGAAGCAGGCTTTTCCATTAGTGCCTGTTCTTCTTTTACAGTTCTTTTTAAGCTCTTAAGAGTTTTTCAGGCATAGTGATAAGTCTGAATCAAACAGTGAGGTGTCTTATCCCMTTTGAAAGAGGAAGAAACAGGAAAGGGCTGGATTCCTTCAGAAGGAAAGCAGCTGATGAGAAGGGAGCCGTGAAAGTACAGGTAAGTAATGCAGAAATGACACATCAGGGGCACTGAAGCTTAAAGACCAAGAATCCACCACACAGATAATTATCACTGTGGGCCCATTGCCTGTGGAAGGATGGATGTGCTTTAAAAGTTATATAATGGATTTATCTTTCCAGAGGCTGAAAACACCCTATTCTTTCTCCAGATGGATCTGCTTTCAAATTTCTTTTCTTTATGTGCAGAAGAGGTTGCCTAAGGGGTCAGAGCTGCTACCAGCTAAAAGTAGATAATTCTCCCAGYGACTGTTCTGTGGCTTGAAAACCAYCTCTGTCCCCTCTTGGTTTTCTGAATGTTGTGATCTGTTTTATCACATCGTGGTCCTGTTGCCTGCAATGACAGCTATGGTCCAGAAAAACAGAGAGTGATTTTTTTTCTTAGCCATATGGTGTGTGCAAAAATAACAGTATTCTGGGGGTTTTCCAAAGCATGCAAAGTGTATAAAAGAGAGAATATTGTTGTCAGCTATTTCAGTGGTTTTCAGGCTCTCTTCTGATCTGTGGGAGGAGGGTTCTGTACTGCATCCTTATATTAGATTGTTTGTCTTTCCTTTCACAAAATATTTTACTCATTTTCCATATTTAGCCAGTGCTAAAAATTCAGCAGAAGAATGAGGTAGGAAGTTTGCTTATGTGTTGCAGCTCTTGGCTGTATGGAAGAAGAAGGTTGTCTGTCTTGYTGTCCAGTCAAGGTGTGTCTACTTGCAGCAGGGAGAACATTTTCAGAACATTTTCTTTTGAATAGAAATCCCACTTTTTGCAGTATGAAGTTTAGGTTCTCTTTTCCTATTTTGTGAATTTGGAGTATTTTGCATTTTGTGTGTGACAGCTTGTAGAGTTGTAAATTCTGTTGAAAAATGGGTGAAAGTTCTAGCAAGGGCTGGACAGACATGAAATTATTTTATGGCAGCAGCAAGGAGCTGATCTCACTAAATGCCTTTGTGAAGGGTTAAGTTTAGGCACCTGCAGTGTCCAGGACACAGGTCTGCCCGAGTGATGAACTGAACTTTTGTAAAATGATAAAGCTACGCTGTCCTGGTTGAGAAAGCCCTGAAGTCAMTCCACTAAAAGTACTGCCTTTAGGAGGTGAACACTGTCAGCTTGAAGAAATGTGAGCTAAATTTTTCATACTTAAGCAATTCCCCTTTATATTGTCTTCTGCCATTATTGCAGTGAATTTCTCTCTGTTTTAAWGCAGGAAATAAAGCATTTGTGTGGATAAGTCCTTATGTTGTATCAAGCCCCTCCTTGGGGTTCTGGCTGAAAGGCTGGGTGCTACATAACTTTCTGTGGCAAGGTTTAAGGCCCTTTAAAGGCAATAAAGCTTCAGACTTGGTGACTTTCCCATTTAGATTTTGTGTTTTTCCTGAAATGTAACTTGGCTTTGGCAGGGAATGTTTACCTCTCATKACTCGTGTGAAACTTGGCAGTTTAAACACTGACATCTAATTCTGCTGGTGTTTCTGGGGGATGTACTGCAGTGTGCTAAAGAATCCATGTAAAAAGTCAGGATGTCTCAAATACACTGCAGGTGACAGGATGAAGTGCCAAAGGTACCAGTTTAGCTGTGGAGCTGTAATTCTGAGAGTAGAAAAATCTTCTAAACCTGTCTCCAGCTTTCTCTATCTCAAGGAACAGAGAATTTCCCTTGCTGTCTCCAAGCAAAGTTCAGGTTTAATTTTACAAATTTAAAATTTGCAACTCTTGTACCCATATATAATAATTCTGTTTTACTTAGGAATTGTTTTAGCCATGTCCTCAAAATGCCTGAAGTTTGAAACCTGGTGTAGTTCAAGTACCTTGAAAATTGGCTGGATAACAGCAAAAAGATTGGGCAATCCTTACCTGCCACTTCTGGAATACACTAGTGGAATCCAATTTAACCCTGGCCTGCTTGGGATGTGACAGTGTGCCTTTTCCCAGGTATGGGAAGCTGCTGGGAGCCCACACAAGGGCAGCTGTTCTGGGAGTGCATCCCTG